TCTTAACGTACGTTCGGGGAAACTCGTTACCTAACGAATTTTCACTCTAGTAGTGTCCGTGTAGAAAAAAAGCAGATACCTTGTGGCTGAATCTCAAAAGATAATAATTGTGAAAATTGGATTGTGGATAACTGGTATGCAGAAGTAACAAGGTTTTTCGCTATGCTTATTGTAAGAAGGAGCATTAGACAACAAATAATAAGGTTAACATTCCTTCGGATTTTCCTATACTAGAACATAAATATTGAACCTCTTGAAATACACCAGAAAACGTTTAGTTTTAGGATGTTGTATGATCCTCTCTACTTTTCTATTCTTTGTGAGTCTAAAATCCACCACAACTATTCATCATCAGATCTAAGTCTAAATCATGTAAAAGTTTTATTCCAAACCCGCGCTATAAAGTATTACACTCTATGAAGTTAGGTGATACGCATAGGACTTAATTCTATAGGCGCAATCTGTGTCAGTAAGCGAACAAAACACATTGGAAGTCATGCTTAGCTCAATCTACGAAAAACGATTGAGGCTCTAAAACTATTGAAAGTGTTTGAATTCTAATGAGGAATAATCTGAGCGCTAATACGTTCTAATTTATTTCGTTTCTATCTTTCACTTGTGAAGAAGAACCGATCTCTAGACATTGTGAATTACTCGATCGTATATGTGTTTGTCAAGAATAATCAGAATAAATATAATGAATTCAGTCGAGGGTCAAGTGAGTCGTACCGACGAACGTTACTTGTTGTATAGCAACGTCTCGTTAAATGCAAGAAAGAAAAAAAATATGTATGGAAACAGTTCTGTCATACATATTCCCTAGACTGAAAGGATAGGGTCTAGAAACCTAAATTTTCTGTGTTTGGATCGGTTACGTCTTTGTTTGTATCGGTGACGTCTGTGTTTGTATCGGTGACATCCTTGTTTGTATCGGTGACGTCTGTGTTTGGATCGGTGACGTCTGTGTTTGTATCGGTGACGTCCTTGTTTGTATCAGTGACAAAGGTCGCTTGAGTATTTTGGCCTGTTCTCCGAGGTAAATTCATCGTTTTGGTGAATTTCGTAGTCACATTCTCGGTTTTATCTTTTGCCAATTTTTTCTAGCAAACTTTGAAAGAAATATCGTATATGTTCTTTTTTTTTCAAATATCAATCTTCTCTGATTTGCTTTTCGTTTTCGTGTTTTATCGCGCTTTTCTTAATTTCACTTTAGAATATGTTATTATCATAAATAGTTTAATTTTCATTGAGTTTGCTTACTTGAAATACGAAGTTGCAACGAAATAACGGTGCCAACTCGTCTTCTACTGACTTTAATTCTTCCAGTAATATTGAAGAGTATGTGAAAATTTTCTAATTTAGTTGGATATTGATGTGCACTATCACCTTCTCTATATAGTATTTGTTCAGCGTCTTATTCTCCAAAAAGTTGCCGTCAATAGATATCCAAATGTCGACTTCCAAGGATCGAATGCGAGCTTTTCGTGCCCGTCGTGCACTCGTAGAGACTGCTGAACAAAAAGAGAGTCGACTGGCTGTTGATAGACAATATAAAAAACAGCGACTGGCTAATCTTCATGTCAATCAAACAAATGAAGAAAAGCAGGAGCATCTTGCATCTCGTAGCCAATACGAAGTGAAACGTCTAGCCAACAAACGTGCAAAAGAAAACGCAAAGGAGAGAAAAGAACGTCTTACAGCGAAGCGTGAGAAAGAAATGAACCGTCGACAAAACTTACGAGCGCGCGAGACTGATGCGGAACGAAATATTAGATTAGAGTGTGATCGTGATCAACATCGGTAAGACTCACAGTTTCTTTGCTTTTTCTATCAAACATTCTTCTTTTCTCTTTCGCTCGTAGGGCGAAAACACGTGCGAGAAATGATTCAAATATGGCAATAAACCGAAACTGCGCTGTATGTGGCTATAAAATCATGACTCAAAATTGGTCACAATTAACTATCAGATCATTTCCGAACCTTCATCGTCTTCGACCTCAGAGCGAAGAGATACCCGATTCTGTTCTGAAAATTGATTTTTCACGATTTACTAGTAAGAATCTATATTGATCGCAAATCATCATTTTGAAACGTTTTCTAAATTAAAATAGGCTATGTTCGGCGATCGTTAGAAACTTTTTCTGGTTTCGATGTTCTCGTGAATGGAGCAATATTAGGACGACGCGGGATCGACACGACAACTGGTTTGATAGTCGTATGCCGTGGTTGTCAGACCTCTTTACAAAACAATGCTACGCCCACATCGGCTTTGAGCCGCTTATACTCGCCAGATAATGCTTCAGATGAGGAATAACTTTCATACTGTATATAAAATTGACGTTACTTAATATTTTTAAGCTGTTCATGCATAAAGACGGAACATCACTATATTTAAACCCAAATTGCTTTCCAGTTTGTCAGTTAATGATATCCTAACTATGAACGGTAGAGAGATTTGATAGTTTTCGCGAATGCTATGGATGCCCAAAATTTCGACTACAAAAGCTTAACAATTGGTTCTTTCGAAATTTCTTGTTTCAGAATCTCCAATTCTTCGGTCAATCAAATATATTCAACCATCTGCACTATACGATGAAGTGAATCTTCGTTCGATGAATATTATTTCTTTTTTTTTTACAACTTTTAGACATTTACAGGGTTGGAAATAATATTATTCCAGGGGGAGGGGTAACGCTATAATTACGAATAGCAACCATAATGAATTTTATACCAAATGAAAGCCCGTAAAAAATGGGGTTTCCTGATACTAAATTGTAAGGGTTTTCAAGATATTTTCATATAATAAACCTTCAAAAGTTTCGCAATCTCGTAGAATACATTCGTTCTAATCTATTTTCAGGGAACTGTAGAGCAAAGAAAAACAGATATTTTCCGTAGAAAAATCGAAAAGATCTTTGTTTAAACGATCATAAGACGTGGATTCGATTGAGAAATAGGGCGATCCTTTTACGTCCTATTGTTCGGTCCACCTAGAAGCAGCTATTTAGAAGACTTTTTCATATTTCATATCGGTAAACTATAGTAACTTTTGAAGATGTATTGTATGAAAATATCTTGAAAACCCTTACAATTTCGTATCAGGAAACCTCATTTTTTACGGGCTTTCATTTGGTATAAAATTCATTATGGTTGCTATTCGTAATTATAGCGTTACCCCCCCCCCCCCTGGAATAATATTATTTCCAACCCTGTATATTTCTGTTCTTTGTAATTCCACCTGCTGAACTTTAAACTGATTTTACTGTTAATTGATTTTTAATTACGAAATTCAAAAACACTCGGCTTTTTCCTTGTAGCACATTTTTTTATTTCGGTCAGAGATGTACTCTTTGATAGTCTCATCTTCATATCTAGTCATATCACATGTCATCGTGTTTCAGTCTAGGGACGAGTGAATCGGAATCCGATGAACGTTACTTTCTTAAATTTTACTGAACAAAATGGTCCTGCTCACTTTTTCGCAATCGTTATTATATGTACTTTATCCAATCATGCTTACTCTTTTAAGCCGGTCTTAATTGGTTATTTTACTTGGTAAGCTGAAAGTGTTTAGAGAACATTCCGAACTTTTTATCATGCAAAATTTTTTTATAGAATCTCTAACTGTTTATATTAAAAGATGAAGCATTTTTAATTCGATGTTACGAAACAATGAACTTCAAGTGGTTCTGTATAATCATACAGAACTACCCATGGTTTTGTATGACTATACAGAACTATCCATGGTTCTGTATGACTGTACAGAACCATCGATGGTTCTGTATAGTTCTCCAGAACCATTGATAGTTCTGTATAGTCAGACGAAACCATCGATAGTTCTGTGTAGCCACACAGAACCATCGATAGTTCTGTACAGCGGTGCAGAGCCATCAATAGTTCTGTATAGTAGTACAGAACTATTGGTGGTTCTGTATAGTCCTACAGAACCATTGATAGTTCTGTGTAGTCACACGAAACCATCGATAGTTCTGTGTACCCACACAGAACCATTGATGATTTTGCACCACTGTACAGAACTATCGACGATTCTGTATGACTACAGAACTATTGGTGGTTCTGTAGGACTATACAGAACCATTGATAGTTCTGTATAGTCCTACAGAACCATCGATGGTGCTGTAAAATTGTACAGAATCTTTTACGGTTTATTAACTATCCTACAGAACCAAAAATGGTTCTGCCAACGCTGCAGAACCAAAAATAGTTCTGCAAAACTCCTTTTTTTTCAGAGTAGAGTTACAACAGCGTCAGTTTACACAAAGACATCGAAACCCCTTCCAAGCAATAATAATCCTACCCATGTAAAACTAAAATAGGCATTTAACGAAGCGAGTCTTGAAATTAACGCCAAAAGTTGCGTTAAAAGACAGATTAACGAAGTTTAATGAAGAAAACTTCAAGAATTTTCGTTAAATTTCGGAAAATCGTGAAGACGCGTTAGATTTTTCACGCTTTTTCACGCGTGATTGTGGTTTTCACGGTCACTAACTCGTTACATGTCGTTAAATATTTCATTTGTTTTCACGCGTGAAATTTTTAACGATCTTTCTTGCGTTTTTTTCATTTTAACGAACTTTATCGTGTTATCCATCGTTAAAAAGTTGCCATCGTTTTCACGTGTGAGATTTTTAACGAACTTTCTTGCGTTTTTTTTCATTTTAACGAACTTTATCGTGTTACCTATCGTTAAAAAGTTGCCATCGTTTACACATGTGAAAATAGTTAACGATATCATTTGAATGTTTTATTTTTAACGAAGCTTACCGTGTTAACCATCGTTAAATATTTCATTCTTTTTCACGCGTGAAGATGTTTAATGGTGTTTCTTGAGTTCTTTTAATTTTAACGAATCATATCGTGTTAATCGTCGTTAAATAGTACATTGAAGTTTTGAGTCAGTAGTTGTTCAGTAGGCATCGTACTATGAGTTGAATGTTTAGGCTTAATCTGGAATAGTAAAAATAAGCTTTTTTTATATATCATGAGGATTCTTCAAGATCGGGATAGCGAAAAAAACAAACTGTGCCAGAGTTTTTTTCCCAGTAGACGCATTTTTCAATGATATCATTTACTGGTACATAGTAATAGTTATTGTTTTTATGTAATTTTCCTTCTTGAATTGATGTTATATCGATCCTTTGACCATTTGTAACTATTGATAAGTTTTTGACATCAGAAAGCGGCCAAAGTTCCAGTAAAATTTCATCACCTGTAGCAATAAATATTGCAGTTATTAAACCAAAATGAATTGCATCTTGAATTCTGAATAGAACTGCAGAATCATCAGCTGCCTTTGATTTTGAGTAGTCTGCAGTTGTATAACGAACACGTCCAATCTTGATTGTCCTATAAAACTGAAGATTTTCGTTCGAGAATAAAGTGGAGATTCTGTTATTGGACGGTATTGAATGCATAGTCTGAGGCACACTTGATGATGATTTATAATAGCCACGACCAAACATCATATTTTCAATGTAGTTTTTAAGTTGAATATTCATTGTTGAATCATGAAGTTGTAAAAGGTCTTCCATAAAGGACGTTCAGGTAAAAATCGAGTTTTGTTTTTTCACGCGTGAAAACAAATGAAATATTTAGCGATAGTTCATACGGTAAGATTCGTTAAAAACAAAAAAAACTCAAGAAACATCGTTAAATATCTTCACGCGTGAAAAAGGATCAAATATTTAACGACATGTAACGAGTTAGTTATCGTTAAAAAGACAATCACGCGTGAAACAGCGTGAAAAGTCTAACGCGTTTTCACGAATTTTCGAAATTTAACGAAAGTTCACGAATTTCTCTTCATGAAACTTTGTTATTTTATCTTTTAACGCAACTTTTGGCGTTAATTTCAGCGCCTGCTTCGATAAATATTCTTTTTTAAAATTTTATATAAGTGCCTCGCTCCTTTGACATCTGATATAAAAAGAATTTCAGAAAAAACCTACTGACTCATATATGAATAAAAAGTAATCCTGAAAATTGCGTCTAATGATGTGAGTGGCATGGAAACACATATGATTCAAGCTTGAAACTTGAATTAAGCTTTCAAGTATGATACTACGATCAATGCGAGCTAAGTATATCCGTTCACCCACGTGTCTTTCATGGATGACCCCTAAGCATGCACGTCTGAATATATTTAAACTTCCAATCATTTCGATTTCTTCTCGACGAGTAGCTTTGATAGTTCGCATTATTATTCCTAAATATCAATGAAACCATATTTAAAAGATTGGTAGGAAAAAATCAAGATATCACCTAAAATATTTTCAAAGTGAAATGTAGAGTAAGAAGTCAATGGACCGTAATCATTAACAGTTTGTCCAATATGATTAAGGGAATGTATAACTTGTTGATTATGTCGAGCCGTGTAGAGTTTTGGATATTCAATGAGAAACTCATGAAGAAGACTTTTTACGTTATCGACCATGACCATGTTTATAGTTCGGTGCTCCGAAAAATGAATAGCTACTACTAATTTCAGAAAATGATCGTAATATTTAGCTTTTAAGACCTTTTTAAAGACCACAAATCCAAAAAGAAGGACCATCCTTAATTCACTGGCTTTAAACTTTTTGAATTTAAGTAGTGAACGTGGTCGTCGACCAGTTGTTGAAGGAAAACGAAATGATTGAAGCATTGATGACAGTTGATGGATATGATTATAACACGACCAATCTTCTCTTTTATAATCAGCATGAAGCCAAAGAGACAATAACTTCCTCTTATAAAAAATAAAAAATATTAGGTATGGATTTAGATGTCAAGTATACTACTTACAGTTACACCTTGATACACGTTGTGTAGATTATCTGATACAAAACTGAATCCAACGTCAAAATATTTCAATTGACGAATCACACAAGGACCGAGGATTCCATGTTCAGACTCCTTATTTTTGATTAATTTTTGCTTGAGTTGACGCTTACCTTTGCGATCAAGTGAATGACGATTAATTTTTTCTATTTCAATATCATTTAGTTCTTTAATTAAAATAAGATAATCATATCGATCATTTGTTCTTAACTGTGGTTGAGTCAGAGAGTTTTCAATAGGAAAACAATTAATTCGATGATTAGAATTGTTAGATGACAACACAGTATAGCCTAGGTAAATATCCCATGTAAAAATTTATATAAATTTAACGATTTAACGAAATTTAATGTTACATTTTTGACCGTGAAAAAGCGTTAGAAATATGAATTAAACGAAGTCTCATGCGTGTTTTCCCGTTAAAACGAGATTAACGTAAAATAACTCGTGAGACTTCGTTAAAAAGCATATTTTTGACTCATTTTCACGGTCAACAATGTAACATTAAATTCCGTTAAATCGCTGAATTTATATAAATTTTTACATGGGACTTCTGAAAATAAGAAAAGTGTGTATGAAAAAAATTTTTACCACGAATTTCACATCTTCCGCATCCAAATTTTGCGGTTGGTTCGGGTAAATTTTGTACCAATGCTTGTGCTGGTTTATCCATGCATGCACAAATTAAAAAAACTTTTAAAAATCGTGAAACATAGCCTGCATCTGAACAACATTCAAAATAAGATCCTTTCTCCAACTCCTTAAGTTGTACAATAATTGTTTCCAACACAGCTGACATTTCAAACCGCTTTGGTTTTGCAGGACCAGGCCAGACTCCACCAAGTATTAAGTTTTGGAAGCTAAATCGCTTTTTACGTTTAATTTCATTAATTATAAAAGTTACAGGCCATATTGACTTTTCTGTACTTTTAAATGGTTGTATTCCGTCTGTACTCATAGTTAGAGTTAAAATGTCGTCAGATTCTTCATCAAGTAGTTTTCGATAGTAGTTACCATCAACAATATCTTTCATTGATAAAACTGAATGTGGTGTAACGTTTGTACGTTTTTGTAAATACATATCTGCTGTAGTAGCTAATATTGAAGAAAGTTGATCACGAATATTAAAAGTATAAAAATAATTTGGCATTGATGCAGGAGGTGCAAAACGCCAGCTACAATTAGCATTTGAGCAAGTAAACTTGTTATCAGAGACCTTTTTGCAACTTGGACATATCCACCACACTGTTCGATCAAGAGTAGATGCACATGATTTATCAAGTGCTTTTTTGATTTGAAACCAACTACGAGGAGCACCAGGCACATTTAAAACACACAATAGTGAACATATATCGGTGATGCAGATTGCTGATAAAGAATGACGATTTTTCAAGGCGACTAAAGCCGCAGCTAAGTCTACTTTTTCAATAGGTCTTGATAATGAATCTGAACTTGTCGAGAGTCTATAAAATAATCAAAAAATTATATAGTTAGAGCGATGAACACTATTTCTAGGACAAGCAGTTTCTAAAACAATAATAGATCCTGTGATTAAAGGTCCATGCAAAAAATGCTGATGAATTTAGCGAATTAACGAAAAAATATATTACATTTTCAGTCGTGCAAACGTGTGAAAACGAGACGTCTTTTAACGAAGTTTCATGCGTTTTTCTACGTTAGTTACTGTTAACGAAAAAACATGCGTAGTATTTCGTTAACAGACGTCTTTTTTCACGCATTTTCACGATCGAAAAGGTAACATCATTTTGCTTTAATTAGTTGAACAAATGAATATTTTTACATGAGGAAAAGAAGAAAAAGAAATCAACACTAATGCACTACTCTAGGTGATGAAAAGAGTTTTCGAAACATTATACATACATATTTTGTTTATCTTGAGGTTCATAAGACTCATTCCTAGTTGGAGATGTAAAATTTGGAAGCGAATAATCATCATTATAACGTTGCGATTGATCATCTGGAGAAGCAGCAATGTTAATAGATTCATTGATGAAATTGGTGGTAGTTTGAGCCCATTGAGTTAAACCCTCATTCAGCTGCTCGCATTCCTTCACTAAATTTAAAAAATGAGTAAATTTCTCAATTGACAGAATTTTTAAGTTTCAACACACAAAAACGACCATTTGCTTTGGCAAGAAGCATCATTCTTCGTCGATGTTCGAAATTCTTTCGATTAAGTCGCCAATTAGCGACCTTTTCTGTCATTTTGCTTCAAAAAAAGTCAAAGTGACAATGTTTTCAATGATTAATTACAAACAGAATATATAAAACTATCTAATAAGATTGATAAATTTTTAATTACAATGAAGAAAAACCCAATGGTTTCTAAGCTTCTAGTACTCTTTATCTTTCAAAGCTTTTATTGTTCATTTATATGCCTACAAGTATAAACATAACTGACAAAAAACAAAAAAAAAATAAAGTTCATCACTGAATATTCAGTACAAAAAAAAAACAAATATAACGAGAAAAATGCAAATAGAAATAAAATCTATCAAGTAACATCGAAAATAAGTCTAGATAAGTTTCTGAAATCAATAATATTTCATTGATTTCTTGGTAAATCATTTTCTTTATTGATGTTGGATTTTTTTTTTCCAATAAACTTTGAATTATTGAAAGTTGATTGTTGAGATTCATTTTTTCCATCTTGTTTTTGCTGATTTTTGGCACTACGAAAAACATTGTTAATACTTTCATTAATTTTTCCTTCCGTCAGACCTTCCATACCATGAAATATGTTAACGTAATCTATAATATAAATATATTGTTTAATATTAAATCACAAAAAGAAATAACCATGAACAGCTTGTCGAAGATCATCATCAATACCTTCTTCAAGAGCATCCATTCGAGCATGTGGTGGATAACAGGCACGTATAATAGAACGAGCTGTTCTTGTACCATTCGGCTTTTGTAGTCTATTCAATTGTTCTTCGCTCATACTTAATCGGTCACAAATCTTAATCAATTTTTCACCATTTCCTTCTTCCATTTCACCAGCACAGGAAAGTAGTTCTCCCATACGTACAAAATATCTTATAACACTGGGATCAGTTGGACGAGCTATAAGAAGTAAATATTAAAAGTTTATTACAAAGCGATGACGTCTAGACCAGAATTTTTTCTTTTGATATTTTTAGATGAGAAAAGCTTTTCAATTAGATCATAACTTGCTATGAACACTTAAATAAAATAAAATTGAGATTCTGATAGTTAATACAGAAATAAAGCAAAACAATCTTATCAGTTTTTGAAGCAAAAATATTTAAAAACAATACTTACGCATCCATTCCCTTTTATATTTTTCAATTTCTTTCTTCATTCGAATGTTTTCCCTTCTGAGCTCCTCATAAGAACTCACGGAAATTCGTTTTCGTTTTGTTTCTACATATTGTGCTTCACTGTCAGAATCAACACTCTTTCGTTTAAATGAACTAGTTGTTTTTTCTATATAGTTTCACAACAAAAAAAATTAGAAAATAATATTTAAAAAAATTAGTGATACAACCTTCTGTATAAGCAGCACTTAAAGATGATGCTTCTGATGTCTTGGATCGATTGTCGTTTCGTGGTTCATTGATTATTGCTTGGTTAGATTGAATTTGTTTTGAGTTATTTTCATCACCTAAAATATGACATACATTAGCTTGTTCAACATAATAAGACCTTCATACAATTTTCTTCTTGTTCAGTATCAATTTTCAAACGTGCATCATTTGAGTCAGACGAATCTTCATCGTTTGACTCCAAATCATTTTTACTATTTGAAATACCAGTTGACTCAGATTCACATTCATCTTTTTCATCAAATTTTTGTGCTGCACCATTTTCACTATTAACCTTTGCCACTAATAATTTTTTTTGTTTTTCACATACTTGCAGTGAACCTTAAAAAAAAAATTTAAATGTGAAATCATATCTTACAACTAACCAATAATCATAATTGTGCCACGAATAATCTTCTCCCGTTTATTTGTTGACTTTTTATATCCAACACATGATCCAACAGTGAGTTTTGATTTATTAGCAGTTGTTATTAACTGGTGCCATTCAGCAACAATAAAATCAGCATTACTTGTACGAATTACACATGCATCAAACTTTTTCTGTTTGTCAGCCATAAATAAAACTATAGATGATATTATGTTTATCTAAAAAATCTTTATGTTTAAAAATAGAAAAATTTTATTAAAGATGATATAACACTTAAACATTATCGTCCTTACAACTAAGGGCAAACATGCACAACTGACAAAGCATATAATGTTCTGCTATTATAAGAAAAATATCCTTTGTTACTTTTGTTCATAAGATGTGTAATGAAAATAAAGAACGATAGATGGTAGTCATATCCAGTAACTGGGAATATTTATCGCTATGCCGTTGAATTAATCTCTTCGATAGGCTTTCAGTATCTTAGAAATGTAAAAATAAAAAAGGCATTTAACGAAGTGAGGGCAGAAATTAACGCAAAAAGTTGCGTTAAAAGATAAATTAACAAAGTTTCATGAAGAAAACTTCGTGAACTTTCGTTAAATTTCGGAAACTCATGAAAACGCGTTAGACTTTTCACGCTGTTTCACGCATGATTGTCTTTTTAACGATAACTAACTCGTTACACGTCGTTAAATATTTCATTCGTTTTCACGTATGAAGATATTTAACGATATTTCTTGAGTGTTTTTATTTTTAACAAATCTTATCGTGTTAACCATCGTTAAATATTCCGTTCGTTTTCACGCGTGTACGTTTTGATCTTTCCGCTTGAATTATATGCAGCCTGTACAGGTGCGTAGTACTCCCAGATAGTGTTTCTAATGGCAAATGTACTTCCTTTGTCTGCACATATTGAAAAAAACAAAAAAAAATCCTTTGTTGTACACTCTGAGTGATCATTCCATTAAAAACACTGCTCCCATGTAGTTTTTTTACGTAGCTTGACTTGAAATTTTTCGAGGTTCTTCTATTGAGTTCAGCTATGTTGCCTTTTTTGCTCATAGATATCACATTTAATATGACAAACGTGACTGGTAAACTCTACTTTGGTAGAAAGGTAAAAATGTCGAAAATGAAAATATCGAAACCAAAACTGATGGATTAAAATGTGAGTGCAAGAGTGTGGGTGAGGGTGAGGATGTTTGTCTGATATGTATTAAAACGGCTGAAAGAAAAAATAGCGAAGAAAAAAGCGGAAGAAAAAATGTCGAAAACAGTTATGGCGAAAAAAAATGTCGATCATATAAAAATGGCGAAAAAATATATTTTCCTGAAAAATGTCGAAAATGTCTCGGGTGCCGTTAAGTGACTCTATCAAGCAGTAAGATGTGGAGTTCGAGATTAGAGATGAAGAGAGAACTGATATTCACATCTGCAACTTACCCACATAAAAGAAACATATAGCTCTGTTGTTGGTTTTATGCCTGAATATTTTTGATCCATTATTATTTTTGTTGGTCTACTTAAACATAGATTATTTTTCTGTATACAAGAAATTATCTTCATTCCACTGGTCGAAAATTTTGAAATACACTTTTCTCGACAAACTCATATGATTACAAGGGATTTTTTGCTATAACCTGTTTCGCCATTGTTATCTTCGGCATTTTTTCGATTCGCTATTTTCTTTTCGCCATTTTTTTCTTCGCGATTTTTTTCTCGACATTATTTTTTTCGCTATTCTTTCGTTCGCTATTTTTTTTCGGCCAATTTAATACTATTCGTTTGTCTCTTCATGGATTGTCGTTTTCAACACTTGTATCTTGCAACATGTTTATAATTTTTGTTTTCGATATTTTCATTTTCGACATTTTTTACCTGTCGACATTTTTACTTTCGACATAAGTAAGGTAAATCACGTGACCCTCACCTCCGTTAAATACTTGCGCTGGTCTATACATTACCGCTTAGAATTTTTTGTACATTGCTATTGATTGCATGTTTGATTAACTTCTTTTACTGATCGATGTCTTCCTAAGTTTCATTCGTCTCAAGAGGAATATTCAACTAAACAGTTCAATATTGGACATACTTTCTAATAAGATACTTGAGAAAAAAAATTTTGTTATCACCACTTATTTCGTAATAGATAGCAAAATCGATTATGAAGCACATAAGGTTTTTAATCATATATCATAATTCAAAATATTTATGGTGCTACTCGCGTCAATTTTGAATTCGAATACGCTAGCACTCACTGTTGGAGTTAAAATTAGGGTAGTTATAACTCGAGTTATAACTTTTGAGTTATAACTGATCAACTTTTTGAAAAATAGTTTTAACTCCAACAGTGCTAGCACTGTATATCATAGCATCATAAAAATGATAAGGCATACTATTTTGAATTTTGATATATGATTAAAAAAATTTATGTACTTCATAATCGATTTTGCTATCTATTACGAAATAAGTGGTGATAACAAAATTTTCTCAAGTATCTTATTAGAAAGTATGTCCAATATTGAACTGTTTAGTTGAATATTCCTCTTGAGACGAATGAAACTTAGGAAGACATCGATCAGTGAAAGAAGTTAATCAAACATGCGATCAATAGCAATGTACAAAAAATTCTAAGCAGTAACGTATAAATCAGCTTAAGTGTTTAACGCAATTTCATGCGTTTTTTTTTCATAAATTACCGCGTGAAAAATCGTTAAATTTTTAACGATTTAACGAAAAAAGCTGTTACTTTTTTGATCATGAAAACGCGTTAAATCATATCTTTTTTAACGAAAAAAGACGCGTTAAATGATCTTTTTCTTAACGAAAAAAAACCCGTTAGATTTGCGCGTGTTTAACGCGTTTTTAGGGTCAAAAAGGTAACATTAAATTTTGTTAAATCGTTAAATTTTTAACGAATTTTCACGTCACAAAACTTCGTTAAATTGCTAAAAATTTTTACATGGGTACCCAGCTCCACAATTACAAATATTGCCGACGATTCCAATGAACCTTTACACTAATGTAAACATTCCAAAACTATATAATTCCTACCGCCATACCCCTCAAACACTCATTCTATATACCGACTATCACGCCCGTAACTCTTCCCATCGTACACGCTAACATACCACTAAAGTATAAACTAAAACGTTCACCACACACAGGTCGTAATTTCCCGCACAAAAGTCTATACCGTCCTGCATTGTACATACAATCGCACTAGACACTACTATTGAAGGCCTTATTCCTTCTCACAAATTAACCGTCTCTCTTCGACATCTACATCGGTTCGTAGAGAATATCGAGCTCTATCTTTTCAGCCGAAAAATTCGCTTATATACGTAGCGAAGAAATCCATCTTTTTCCGCATATACTATTCCACAACCCAATCCTATAGTACTTGGCCATACAATTCAAGGGCATGTCCGTCCTTAGGCTTTAACGGTCTCTCTTCGGCACCTATCAAGGTTTGTAGAGAATTTCAAGCTCTATCTTTTGAGGCGAAAAAATCGCTTAGATAGGTAGCGAAGAAATCCATCTTTTTTCGCAAATACTGTTCCACAAGCCAATCTCATGGTACTTGCCCATACAGTTCAAGGGAAGATCCCTCCACAGTCTTTCACCGTCTCTCTTCGGGACCTATCTAGGTTTCTAGACAATTTCAAGCTCTACCTTTTGAGGCGAAAAAATCGCTTATATAGGTAGCGCAGAAATCCATCATTTTTCGCAAATACTGTTCCACAAGCCAATCACATGGTGCTTGGCCATACAATTCAAGGGCTTGTTGGTCCTTAGGCTT